TATCTCTTCTGCTTGAAGAGCTTTGGACTTCTCATAATTCTTGATGGACTTGAGGGCAATAGATTTTATCTTCTTCTATGATATATCTTGTTCTAGCTCAATCTCATGACTTCTTAAATAACTTATCCATTCTTCTAGAAAAGTGTTGTTCATATCCTTTGCAAGCTTGAGTGCAGTTACCATAGGCCTCTATTTGGATGGCAAGCTTATGATAATCTTCCTCACATGATCTGTCATTGAATAGCCTTTGTTCAGAACTCTCAGTTCTGCAACCAAGGTTTGAAATCTTGAGAACATGACTTCAACACTTTCATCATCCTCCATTTTGAAGTCGTCATATTTCTGAATCAAAGCCAGTGCCTTGATTTCTTTAACTTGATCATTTCCTTCGTGATTCATTTTAAGATAGTCAAATATAGACTTAGCAGAGTCTCTATTTGTGACTTTTACATACTCGGTATAAGAAATATCATTTAGCAAGATAGTTCTTACTTTATGATGATTCTTATAATCTTTCTTTTGTTTATCAGTCATAGCTCTCCTAGTTATCTCTTTTCCAATAGCATATGTGGGAGCTACGTAGCTATGACTACCATATCCCAAAGATCAACATCTTGACTTAGAAAGAAGCTTTCTAGTATATTTTTCCAGTATTCAAACTATTCACCATCAAATATGGGAGGGTTTACATTGTAACTTTTATCGTTTGAATCTGAAACAACGTTATTTGTTGTGGGTTCAACCATTGTGTTTCTTCAAAGAAAAAATCTTTTGGATCTTTATCTCACACGGTTAAGTCTTTGGTAACTATCAATATCATAACAGGAGCTCTGATGCCAATTGAAGATGTAAGAAACACAAGAAATAGGATTTGAATTGAGTTTCATCAAATATAATTTTAAATCTTTTCATTGATGAAAGACCAAGTTAATTTAGAATATAAAAATAAATGAACACAATTATTTTTATCCTGGTTCACTATTAACTAAGCTACTCCGGTCCACCCCTCAAGGTGATTTGCCTTAAACAAGGATTTAATCCATTATAACCAAACTGATTACAGACAACCCACAATAAGTCTGATCAACCTTATTGGCACCCCCAATAATTTTATCGATCCTTATTGCAAATCCACTCAAACCACAACTGGAGTCTTCTTGAGATCATACCTTCACTCAGTCACTCAAGAAATCAATCAACAATCGTTGAGTACTTTCAGTATATTACAGTTTATTTCTTTTAAGCAGATTACACAAACGTTTCAATATACAGAAAAACACATAAGTGTTTTACAGAAAGATACGAGCAACAACTCCTTGCCTATTTACAAAACTATACACAAAAGATTTCTCTAAATAGTTGCACACCACTTTGGTGTAGTTTTGCTTGAGCTTGATTTAATCTGATAGATTTTTTGTGGTTGATTCTTACATTTCTTCAGATTTCAAGTCTCTCTTTTATAGCTTATAAAAGAGATTCGTTGAAGGGGTAGAAAGGTAATCGAAAATCCAGTTTTTTATCTCCAACGGTCATAATGAGAGTAGTACATAGTATAGTATGAAAGGAATGACCTTACGCCACCCTAGAGGGTAGAAGTCACACATACTTTATGTACCTTTTGTACACTATCACACGCTAACCATTTTTAACTTCTTCTATTCTTCAGAGGATTCAGATAATTTGGATGTTTGAAGCTTGTTGTAGAAGAACCACTCTTAAGTCTTAGAACCTAAGTCTTGAAGTCTTCAGAACTTGTCCCATCAGAACCTTGTCTTCAGAGTCTTCAGCACTTGGTCGTAAGAACTTGTTTTTCTTTAGATCATCAGAACTTATTCAACAAAACCTCTTCTTCATAATCTTTAGAAATTGGAACACACAAAAGCAAAACTTTAGAAGGCCTCTAAAAGTTAACCACCAAATCACGATCAGAACCTCTTGTACTAATGTTCCTAAGAACTGTTGCATAAGACGAATTCCTGACTCTTGAATTCAACTGTAACACATAACCACATATTTTCTTCCAGTAGTGTTTATGTTTAGAACTTTATGACATCACACGCCTTGATACCAGAGTAAGAACATTACAACAACAACTACATACTAGAATGAAACCATTAGAGTATTGAATCGTTCTTTATGATACCATGTAAAGTTATCATCAAAATCTTAAGGTCAGGTGTAGAAACACTTCTCGTGCTTACAAATTTTTGATCACCCAGATTAATATTCCTCGACTTACTTCTTTATCTAGGGCGGGTATCTACCTCAAGTAGAAATGGGATTCTCCTTTGTAAAATATGGTCTATCGAACAAGTCTTCTAGGACCTAAAGTGATTTTTGAGCGTTGTTTATATCCTGTGATGCGCTCAGAATTGGATTGACGCCGGCGTTAACTACGTAATTCTGGTATCCTCTGATGTCACTCTTGTAATTGCCTTGAAAACGGTGAGGAGTGTGGGCGTAACCAGGTTTGATGGTGGATTATGAGGCTTTTACTCGACCTCCATGGAAATTTCCTTCGGACCCCGATGCAGCCCTAGATCTAGGCCTAAAGAATTACATAGAACACACTGATCAAAATTGATACATGAGCATTTGGATGACTACATTAACCCCAATAAAGAGAAATGAGCTACACTTATTCATCGTAGCTTTACATGATGATCTAAAGAAAGACGTTGAAAAACATCTGTGTTGATTCCTCGTACAACGTTTTCACTCTTAATATTTCTCTCATTTTCTCTCATGTTGTGATTTTGATGTTAATGATGTTTTCACCTCAAATCTATTAGAACTACCAATAATGCACCAAAAGTTATCTCCACTGAATAGGAGCCCCTATTTATAGGGTTATGATGTGGCCTTTTCGTTAAGTGAGGCATATAGCTCCCTTAGCGCGTTTTGCTTTGCTTTTCCCCTAAGTTATGCTAGATTATTTACAAGTGGTATTTGCCGCCATAACTCGCTTAACGTGCCACCCATTCTTACTTAGTGAGTTAACCATACTTACCTCTAAAGCAACTTAGCCAAGAAACATGAACCGCTACAACTCGCTTAGTGAGGTTATCACGAAGCTTAGCGAGTTGTTTTTCTTAACCTTGAAGTAACTTGGCTATGGAGTCATCTTTTGTTGTCATTTCTCGCTTAGCGAAACCCTGTTTTTGACTTAGCGGTCATTAATTATTCGAAGATACTTTGACAAGATCTTTGAGTGTTGTTTTTTGTTTTTCTTTGTTCTTTTTACATGTTCATAGTGTATATATAATTAAAAAGTTCATATAAATGTTTTATCTCGTTTTCCTGATAAATTGGTAGAGATTCCATTAATTACTTGCAAATAAAGTTTAAAAAATGATTAATATATTTTACGGATTTTGGCAATTATTAAACATGCACACTAATTGTTGATCCATGCTGCTGAAGTTCTTTCCAAACCATAGGTGCATGCATCAACTGTAGTCGTGAGAGGGGATTGGAAATTTATAGTTGGGTTGGCCATAATGTCCTACTAGACGTGTCAAATTTTGTGTCGAGCTAAGTTACCCAAACATTGGTTGATACTTCTCAATAGTGAGGTATAAGGTAGTGTTTGAGTTTGATGGACGAGTTGTTGGTTGGGTAAGGGTGGCTTGTTTAGGGTTAAAGAAAGATCAAATTAGTAGTTTCTCTTTGTGAAGTTTAGCAAGATTGATAGCTTGAGCAAGGGAGATAAGTTAAAATGATTGCACATTGTGATTCGTGTAATATCTTAAGTTTGAGATTGGAAATGAAGAAATTGAGGTAAAACAATGGTTGTAAACGATGATCATACTGACTAACATCTCAAATTTTGTTTAGTAGTCTTTGATGGTAGTTGTTTGAGAGATTTTGAGTATCATGCCCTTGGGGTCCTCATACATGGATGGTACGATACATATCTTCAACTCATGCAGAATGTGGATCTTCATGAAAGGGTTGGAAAAGTTGATGTTCAAATATAACTTGGCAAGGGTAAAAACATCAACAAAAAATCACTATACTTTGCATTTAACATGACAGAGACATTTAGTGAAATCTAAGAGCGGGACACCCGGGACCAAAGGAATTTTCCATATTTGTAGTAGTTGGTAAACATTGATCATTCAAACTGAAAAATAGCTATAGCAATGCATATGACTAGGAAAGAAAAAACAAAATCACATGTGATGTATTACTACTTTTTGCTAACCTTACTTGGATTGTGTTTGTATAGTACTATAGTAGGGTAAATAAAATTTGACCAAAAAATCTTCAGGTTAACTTTACCATTTTCTTTTCATTGTTTTCACTAGTCAAACACACCTTGTAAACATCATGTAATCAAGTCTTTTGTACTAGCATTATCAAATATGATTTGTTCTAACTTAAATTCTTAATTTGCCGTGTGTTTGCGAGTTGGTTTTTAGACGGTTTTGGAGAGAATAACTTTGAAGGCTACGATAAAGCTTTTATATGTAACACATCCTTACATCTAATGAGCATGTGATTGTGATCCCTTCCAAATGAGACACAATATACAAAAACCGGTTATTATGTGTAAAAAGATTAGAAGATTTAGTATATCCAAAATCAACAATGTTGTTGTGAATCACATGAATCAAGTGATGACCACACTAAAAGTCACCAAAAGTGAATGAAAAAACAACAGCACAAAAGATATAGACAGAAAAGTTTAATCCTTAATCTGACAACACATTTCAATGTCACATGTTTTCAGTGGTAGTAAGTGAAAAACCACAATTCACAAGAACTTTACCACTTTTCTACCAATACCATTACTCAAGGTTATTGCTGTTTCCTGCTATACAGAATAATCTCATTTCCTAGAATAATACATTAACATAGAAATGTCACATAATTTAGCCTTGGAACATATTTGAATTTACGGTGAATTTGACAGAATCATGTCTTGCTACCGGTTTGAGGCTTCAACAAAGTGTCATCGTGATTTCATCAAACTCAGCGTCAATTCAAATATGCACTTAAACTAGGCCAGCTTGAATCATTTGCTTTGTTCCCAATGAACTTTCAAGTTTTTTTTTGGCAACCCTTAAAGCATCTAGAGCTTCAAAGACATTTTCATTAACTTGTTTGTGATTAGTTCTAGCTTGAGATGTTGCTGTCATATTCACAGTCACAAGAACTAATGCCAAGGAATGATCAAAGGAATCTGCATAATCACTCTCATTCTCTGTCACTGATGACTTTGTGCTTAAACTAGAAAGCCTGAAACACAATCCCGAAAATTACGAACTTGGTAACAAGCTCAAATACAATTAAAAGACAAAAACAGTTCATCATCTCATGTAATATACACAACAAACCAGGATCGTCTTTGAGAGTGTGCTAAACGGGCTACAGCACATAGCCTCAAATTTTTTAAGATAAAATTGTGGCAACAGCGCAGAGTCTCGTAATAGATTTGTCAGGACTAAATCATAACTAAATAAGACTCCTATTTGTTTTGTCAAAGTTGAACCATAAGTAACCAGCACATGCGCATGGCCCCTACAAACTTAAAATGGCCTTGCAACAAACATTCACATCACATGTTCAAATCAAATCTAACAATACCTGATTTCATCATTCTTCAAATCCTTAGACTCAGAGTTTTCATCATTCTTCAAATTCTCAAACTCAAAGCTTGGATTCGAATCCTGGCTCCGAATCTTTACAGAAGAATAACCATGTTCTGAATAATTACCACTTGAACTACTATCAGTAATCTGAGAATCACAATCTTTTGTACTGGATGAACTATTCTCTGACCTTGAACCATTGTGATTTGCCACTAAATTTTCCGCCAAAGCCGAATCTTTCACACAATTTCCAGTTTCATTTGCTTCTGAATTTTTTGAAATTGAACTAATAGATGATGAACCACAAGAATTTTCACTTTTTTGTGAAGAATCAGAATGCCACAATTGGCTTAATTTAGAGGATTTGCTAGAAGATTCAAGCTTTTTCCTTAACAATTTAAGCTTTCTCTCAGATTTATCTCTTAATTTAATCTCTTCTTTAACCAATTTCTCCAATTCAACCAACTGTAAAAAAAATTGATTTTCATTTTCAATTAGAAACACAAACACAAAAACATAATAAAGTTGTCAGAAAAAGAAAAAAAAACAGTGCCATTTTGATCTAAGCAATGTTACAGAAAGGTAAAATTACCTTTTTGCCCATTGATTCTGCTTGTTCCTTAGCTACTTTTGAAGCATGTCTCTCTGCTAATAACCTCCCTCTTAGACATGCAACAGTGTTCAAATTCAAACCTTCATCTACTTCCATTTTCTTGCTACTGAAAAACAATAAATTGAACATTAATGTGATTCAATTTTATCACAATTTTCAACAAGAGAGAGAAACGCACCTGCATTTGAGGTCTGAAGTTTCAGTTTTATCACAGAAAGTACCCATTTTTCTGCAATTCAGAATCAGATCAGAACAAAAAAAGGGAAGTGTGATGGTTATGGCTTCTTTGTTGTAGAATGTGAAAATTCAAAAATATAAACATAAGGGGGTGAGAATGGAATTTTGGTGGTAAGTTTCAAGTCATTGTCTCTTATCTATAATAATTAAGTTTCCACCTCCAAGTACGGTTCCTTTGTTTTTTATTCACAGTAAATTTTTTTTACTTAATTTTAGTGTTTTGGAGTAATGTAAAAGGAATTTCACACGACGTATATATATTTTTTTAATGTAAATTGGAATTGATTTTATTATATTTATATAAGTTTGTATGACTTTGATTGATAAAATAGTTTGTATGACTTTGATTGATAAAATAGTTTGTATGATTTAAGAAGGTCAAGAGAGAGTATGCAATTTTTAAGTTTTTCAACTACATACCTTTTTCTATGATTGTGATTGTTCACCGATGAAAAATAAATTATATACAGCAAAACATGCGTAAGTTATATATGTTTATCTTTTTTAATGAATCTCTATGAAATTATAAAAAAAAATATTAACCATGTCATTAATATACTATTCTCTCTGTCTTAATTAGAAAAATTCACTCTTTTTTTAACATATATATATATATATATATATATATATATATATATATATATATATATATATATATATATATATATATATATATATATATATATATATATATATATATATATATATATATATATCAAATATATTAATTATTTAATAAATTTAAAAAGTGAATTTCTCTTATAATTTGAGACGAAAATAGTATTTACTATTTATCTTATGTCTTTTAAATCATCGAAAGGTTTATATATTAGTTTTGAAATATTTTGGTTTCATAAAGTAAATAATTAGTATAATCAATTGTATTTTTTTTTTTTTTAATGTTTTCAATATGTTAGATCGACCAGTTCTATTGTGTGAGGTAAAGGTGAGATGCCCATCTATTTTTTGTGGGTTGAATTTCTTTATGGCCGAGCAGTGAGGTTGTATTTTAGAGATGGACATATTATGTCAACCACTAGAGTGCAACAAGATGATCCATTAGCGCCGCTCATTTTTGCTCTTGAGATACACACACTCATTCATGAGATTAAAGCCAATTGTAACCTTCTTCTTCATGCTTGATATTTTGATGAAGGAACTATTATAAGAGATTCACAAGAGATGACTAAAGCCCTTGACATCATTCAAGAGACAGGTCCAATATTAGGTTTCAAATTGAATATTAGTAAGACTGGAATTTTTTGGCCTTCAGGTGATGGTAGTAAACTTCGTGAGGATTTGTTTTCGGCGGATATTATGAGGCCTATGTTAGGGATGAAGTTGCTTGGAGGAAATGTTAGTCAAGATGGCAACTTTATCAAAGGGTTGTCGATGAAGAGAGCTTCTATAGTTATTGAGTTGATGTATCTTCTACCATAACTAAAGGATCCTCGGAGTGAGCTTCTTCTACTTCGATCATGCATGAATATTGTCAAATTGTTTCTTGGCCTAAGAACGTGTCAACTTAATCATATGGAGCAAGCGGCTATTTGGTTTGATAAAGAGTTGCGAAAGACAATTGAAGACATTGTGGTTGTGGAGGTTCTTTCTTCGGGGACCTTCAATGAATGGTGGCTTCATTACTCATTAGAGTTGAGGATTGAGTTTGTACTCAGCGGTAGAGGCTGCCTCATACGCTTTTGTGGTTTCTAGGACCCAATCTTGAGTGTTACAAGATCTTATATTGAGAGGCATGGGGGGTACATGGTATAGACTCGAATTTCGACAGAGCTTTGGATGGTTTTAGGGTTGCGATTCCAAATTTTGACCTTAGTAGTTTTAATAGCAAGGACACCATCCTCCTAAAGCATAACATGTTTTGCGAGTGCACTTTTTAGTAAAAATATTAAGGAAATAGATGTAAAGTTTGACAGGACCACAAGACAAAAAATAGTTTTGGTTGTTTACAAGTTGAACATGCTTAAGAATTTTCTCCTTACTATTCCTATTGATGGACTAGTCCAACATATGTCAGCGGTGAAGTATCGTTGTATGCTAAGATACCGCCTTATGATTCCTTTATTTCCTATTGATGAGATTTTCCCTGTTTACCGTAAGGCGTGTTTAGATACATTTGGAAAACACACGATACTGTAGGGAGCTTCCAGATTTCAAATACTGACATGACCTTGTTACGGATGTCATGTTTAATATATTTCGGCGGATCGAAATACCTGTGAAGAATCATGAATTTGTGAATTTCTTAACTGAATCACATAAGGGACAATCGACACTTATGCCAACAAGTATTTTTGTGTATAGATGGGTATGAGGAAAACATGCTTATGGACATGACTGAAATTTCTCTGTTGGTGGAATTGAGGACTGAAGGTTTTACTGTGTGGGATAAGCAGCTCTCAAAGCTGCTTCAAATTAAGTGGTCAATATGAGAAAACGTATTCCGAAAAACAACATGCTTTCATACCATTTACTTTTAATATTTTTGATTTCCTACCACCAGGAACAACTGATCTTTTACTAAGAATCTAAAAACTAATGAATAATAATATTTTATCTCTTAAGTCTATGAATATACTTTTTAACATGATTGATTTTGCGATTCAAAAATGAATAACGATACAATTTATTGCTCTTTTAACTTTTATTTTATATAAATTTTATTATATTGAAATGGAATTCTTTAAAAAATTAGTATAATGGAAAATCAATATATATATATATATATATATATATATATATATATATATATATATATATATATATATATATATATATATATATATATATATATATATATATATATATATATATATATATATATATATATATATATATATATATATATATATATATATATATATATATATATATATATATATATATATATATATATATATATATATATTGAAGAGAGGTGATGACAATTTTGAATGAAAAGTTCATCTGAAACAAATAAATTTGATTGAATGCTATCTGATTTAATTTGAATTAATTTTTAAATATTTAAATTATAAATTATAATTTTTTAATTAATATTATAAAAATCTTATAAATAATAGATTTAAATATAACTTTTTTTTTTGGTAAAAAAGTATAACATATATTTAATTATAAAAGAAGAACAACCAATTATATTTAAAACAAATAAATCAATAAAAATAAGTTAAACTAATAAACAATACTAAAATTAATTAAATATTAATAAATAATAAATTAATGTAACATATTATACATATAAAAAAAATATGTATTGAAATATATGCATCGGTTTAATTTTGATTGATTTTAAAAAATAATCTAAAATTCATTTGATATAAACAATTTTTATAAGAAAATTCAAATACATTCAAAACTATTAGAATTTTTTTTTTGTGTCATTTTTTAGTTTTTAAAATCGATTTGTAATTTTTATTTGAAAACTTTTATAATAGAATATCGATTGCTTTAGTTAATAAGAAGTTAATTCATCTAATTGTTCTGATTAATAAATTTTACCTAAAATGATTATTTAAGGTAATTCAAATTCAATTTATCCCTAAATTAAATTTTAAACTACTAGAGTAATTTTACTCTTGTGATATAGAACCATGGTCTTGGGCGGTTTGTTTCTATCTATAAATCATATGCCTGTAGTTACAGAGGGAGAGTGTTTTGTGTGATAAAGACACATAATTTTAGCAGCATTTATTGTATCTTTATGAAACTGTAATGTTAAATTTAAATTTTGAATTTTGCATGCTAAGTAGAGACGTTTTTGCTTGTACATCTTTGATTCTTTAACATTTATTATAATTGTATACAAGTGTCACGTGATGTTCTTGAATTCTTGAATTGTCTATTTCTTTCGCAACCATCCTTAATCTCATTCTTAGTATATTCTGTTTTTTTAACGAGAGATCAAACTTGCGTTCATGATTCGTAAGATCTTGATTGAATTTAAATTTAAATTAGCAAACTTAAATGTATTTTTTTAAAGTAACTTAAAAAAACATTGATAAATTTAGGAAAAAAAAACAAAAACAAAAACATGGAAAGATGTGTGCTATTTTTTTTTATAAGTAAAGGAATATATTGAAAAGAGTAGAAGGAATACAAGAAGAGAGGAATAATTAATTAGTCAAAAAAATATTAGTCTATAATTACAGAGATAATATAATATACAATAAGGAGTTGACAGATTGATCTAACAAATTAGAGTAATTAAACTCAATACAATTAGTCCCAAACCAATATCAAGAACAAAGTTTGATTGGAAAAACTAAGTCATATTCATTAAGCAAATCCCCTTTAAAAATAATATCATTTTTAGCTAACTACAAATTCCAAACAACCAAATATCAAAATATCATTCTAAAATCATTATTGGTTCTTCCTAGAAAAAAATATCATAATTGGAAAAGTGATTTAGAAGAAGATGAAACAAGGATCCCATCAATTCCCAACCAAGTCATCACCTGAATCCAAACACGAGAAACGTGGCAAAAAAGAGATAGGTGAGCAATGCTTCTTCTGATGGAAAAAAAGGACATACTAAATCATGAGAGCCATTGATGACTCTATGTCTTTCACTATAAGAAAAAATTTGATTAGTTAGGGGATCCAGTGAAATGATAAATCTCTCATTAAATTTTAACGTTGTTTGGGATAAACTCCTCGCAAATGACAAAATTGAGAAAAAAATTATAAAAAAATTGGTGATCTTGCAAATAAAATAGGAGAATTTTTTGAATTTTGAAAATTTTACAGCTTTCCATTTTGCAAGGGATTCCACCTCACAAAATATGATTGTTGCTTACGCATGGAGATACACCTCACAAATTACAGTTGATTGAAAAGTGTGCAGAATTCTGAAAAAAAAACGTGTTAACATTTTGCGAGAGATTACCCCTCAATAATTGTCCTATTTAAAAAAAATCTTCATTTTCTCAGATTCACTCCCGTCTCTTCTCTTTCTTTTCTCTCTTTCT